CTCTCTTGGTGTCAAGTCTCTATGACCTGACACCAAGACTAAGTGTTCTGACCATCTCAAGGCAATCTAACAGTTGACCAAACTGGTATTCTTTATTTGAATTTTTTCCTTTCATTTGTGTTTAAATATTTCTGAATGGAATGAGAATAACTACCACTAATTGAGGTGTGGCACTTGTTGCTCCCACTCGACTCGAGTGGTTCATGCTCCCAGACCTGTCTCTTATACACATCTAGATGTGTATAAGAGACGGGCTCTAGTGTCAGGGGGCTCTAGTGTCAGGGGGCTCTAGTGTCAGGGGGCTCTAGTGTTAGGGGGCTCTAGTGTCAGAGGGCTCTAGTGTCAGAGGGCTCTAGTGTCAGAGGGCTCTAGTGTCAGAGGGCTCTAGTGTTAGAGGTTTGGTGTAAGAGGGCTCTAGTGTCAGGGGGTTTAGTGTCGGGGGGCTCTAGTGCCAGGCGTTTGGTGTCAGGGGTTTGGTGTCAGGGGGCTCTAGTGTCGAGGGTTTGACGTCATTGGGTTGGGGTCACAGTAGGGGCTAGGATCATTGGGACTGGTTAAATATGTTCATTGGGTCATGGTTGGAGGCCCATTGAGTCAAAGTTTGTAGGTCATTGCATCGAAGTTTGGGGGGTCATTGGATCGAGACTTCGTAAGTCACTGGGTTGAGGCTAAGAGTGATTCCGAAGTTTTAACGATCATTGGAAGTTGTTAATGGTTATTTGATTTCGATTAGGTTCATTTAAAAAGGTCTAGATGTTTTTTCTTCTGTAGGATGAGTGCTGAATAATTTTTCCCCTCAGAAAAAATTTCGCGCCTTAAGTAAAAAATATTCCAGTCAAGCCAGCCTCTACAATATCTGGTCCCTCACCTTGGTAAGGAGGGGCGGTCGAGTGCGGCCAGTGAGGGCGGCGAGGTGCTCGACGGTGGCAGTCTTGCCACAGCCCACGGCGCCCTCCAGCAGCACGGGTCTGGCAGCTTCCAGCCCCGCCCAGACTCGGCACACGTTGTTCTGCGTCGACGCCACCGGCAGCAGCTGCGTCTCCACCTGCAAAATGTGAGATTGTTAGACCTTATTGATTATGCGATCTTATTGATTATGGTACCTTATTGATTTCGAGACAATTATTTATTATGCGTCTCAATGATTATTAGACGTATTTGAAACTGAATGGCGAGTATGAGACCTCGTACGTGATGCATTTGATACTCATTGCTGCACTCTCGTCACTCAGCCACTAACGCAGCATTCCTCACACAATGCTGCACTCAAGTCATCTCAGAAATAAAGTGCACTGTATAACACCAGGAGTTAGAATTAGGCCCAAAAACAAAGATAAAAAGACCAAGATGAAAGATCACTCCTGACCTTAGCAGTGGACGAGTGCAGAGGCAGAAGGTTCCTGCCCACGAAGCAGGTGTGTTTCAGAGGCATCGTCAGAGGGAGGCGGTCCTCTCTTACTTCTTCTTCCTTTGCACCACCTGAGGATAGTAAGCGTGATTACACGCTGTACAGTTAGCACTGCAGTGTTAACTTTATAGGTAATTCAGACAGTCAAACAATTCAGGGACAGTTGTAAGAGCAATGATAATTTACAACGCTAGTCCAGCAGAGAAAAAAGTAACTGCAGTAACTCGTAACCAAGTATGGGCTGCAGCATCAACAGAATTTCAATGGCCCATGGCTCGGCATGCCCTGCAGTGGCTGCACATAACTCAGCAGTTAACTGTTTGTTAAACAAAGGGCAGCTTGGACAGTTTGCTGAGCAGTTGCGGCTTGTAACTCACCAGTTAACTGTTCATTAAACGCAGGGCAGCTTGGACAGTTTGCTAAACAGTTGCAGTTTGTAACTCACCAGTTAACTGTTCATCCCACACACAAGGCAGCTTGGACAGTTTGTCCTGCAGTTTCTGCTGACGCAGCGCGAAGGCGACGGAGAACTTTGCAGCAACGTCAGTAGAGACATGCCGCTGGGTGAGCTCCTCCTTCTGTGCCTCCGTCATGCCACTCAGCAGACCGACACATGCACAGCACACCCTGAAGGTGTTAATACAGTGCAAAAATATAAAAACCAGGTAATACTATATTAATACAATGGTAATTACTGATTAAATACCATGGCAAACACCCACTTCAAACTATGGTAGGTATATGTTAGTTGAAAATCTTTTTGCAATACTTGACGTGAGAAAAAACACTTCAATATTCCTGTGAAGATCACCCAAAATGCTGTCAAAATGAATTCCTCTGAATGGAACATGCAGAGTAAATAGTGTGCAATAACATACAATACATTGGCGTACATGAAAATTGTTTGCCAGAGTAATTAATTGAAAAGGGCATAAAGCAGGGCCAACATAGGAATAGTCTACTGAAAAAAAACCTTGACAAATACCTGATAGAAAGAATAAAATTGAACAACTGCCATTAAAAAAATGTGTACTTGTAACTGAAAGTCAGCAGTTGATAAAATAAAACTGATGCATACATTTAGAGAAATGAGTGAGACATTGTCCAAATAGCAATGCAATTCTGCCCAAATGTGAGTCATCCTGACCCTATTTGGCCCAGTGACATCTGCACTCAGAAAAATGAACCTCACCACTTGATGAAGTCTGACTGTTGGCTGGCAGTAAATGTAATGAGGTCCTGCCACTGCCAGAGCTCTGCTAGCTCACTCTCCGCAGCCAGCACCATCAGATAAGAACTCTGCAACATGAAGCTTTTGTTGACAAACAATTGAAATTGCTTAAACTAAATTTTTTAAATTGTTCAACAAAATGATTGTTGAATTTTTCCAAGCAAGCAAGTGTGTGACTTATTTATGCAAGTAATTGTTGAATTTGTTCAATAAATTGTTTCACTCAATTTTAATGGTACTAGATGATATTGTTAGCTGCAGATCAATCAATAATACTACCTATTTCAGATCACCATTACAATGTAACACTCCTTACAATTGCTATAGGTGTTATGATTCAAATATCCAATCCCCACAATAGAATCATTGTACTCTAACAATGAAGGATTTTTCAATCTAATATAATAATTTTGAAACAACACAGTTTTGTGCATGTAACACCTTCAGGCGATGTGACACAAATATGTTTCTTAGCCAAAAGCATGTTTAAGAAATAGGCAGTAAGAATTACCTAGGGTAACATTGGGCAAAATTATAGTGACAGCCCTGTATTTAAGTGATTATACACAACATTTTGATAAATCTAGGCAAAGAGTACCATATAGATGAATTTTACTATACCATTCGGAGATGATCAGCAACCACTGTGATAACATTGGTGAGTTATAAAAACATGAAAATAAAATATCAAGTACCTATACCTCTATATCCTAAAGCTTAGATTACTACATTGAACTAAAAGGTCAAATTAATAAGTGATTAAAGCCATTCCAGGTGGCTCTAAGCATCTCTGGTTGATGAATTACTCTAATTTTAATTTTAGAGTACAGTATTTATTTTTAAAGCTTCAAAGGCTGACCTCAAGCACAGTCTCCATTGAGATGTCAGGAATTGTCTCTAGGCATCTCTGGTTGATGAATTACTCTAATTTAATTTTAGAGTACAGTAGGTATTTATTTTTAAATCTTTAAAGGCTGACCTCAAGCACAGTCTCCATTGAGATGTCAGGAATTGTAACTTCAAAGTCGAACTTTTGCTTCTTAGGAAGAGATTGTTGTCCAATTTGCAGCTGCTGCATGCCCGCATAGGGGGGAGGATGCTTCTCAAAGTACTCCAGCATAAACCTGAAATAAAACTATAATTATAACAAGAATTGTCTTGATACACCAGGTTAATTTGAAGAATAAAAACAAAACTACCATTTTTCCCAGTTAATAGGAAGAAATTGATGCCTTTTTCCATAAACATTTTTGAAACATGGAGATTATGGAGAAACAATCAAACCATGGCAATAATCTTTCAAAATCAAATACCAAAAAAGCCAATTAACCAAATAATTCAACCAGATATGAGGATAAACATTTAAGAAGTGTGCTCAATATAATTTTAACCCCAAGTATTGATTCCCAATAGCTTCTTGGAGCATATTACCATGCAGGCCATACACAGACCTATTACAGTCATCCCCCCAAGGTACAAAGTGCGTGAGGTATGAAATCTTGAAGCATCATGTGTAGGCCGCTTCAATAAACTGACTCTATACTATGTGTAATAATTATACAAAATTATTTATATAAAAAGTAGCCACTCATAGATGCTTTTCAACCAACATTGGATGGAATTCTTTTATTTGTTTCATGTCAAAACGTGTCAAATTACTTCATCATGTAATTTTAAGATATGTGCACAAGAAAAACAATACAATATACAAAAGCATACAAAATGAATGAATGCAGAAATGAATATTGAAATGGACATAGTATCACTGTGTCACTCACTGTAAGACAGCATGTGGGGAGATTGGAAGGAGCTGCGTAACTGCCACACACAGGCTGCGGTGCATCTTCAGGTAGAGTGGGCAGTATTGAGGGGAGCTAATGGACATTGCAGGTTCTACTTCCTCTGCATCTCGTTTAGTTTTTGCTTGTTCACTACTTGAAGGCTTTTCATGAGTTTTCTTCTTTTTCTTTTTAGACAGACCCAACTTTGATTGCAGTTCATTGTGCTTTATAAAAACTTTGGATTTCTTTCTTGCCAACTCATCTATGTCATCTGTAACTGAAAGGTTTAGATTGTCTTTCTCTTCTTCTCTGTCAGGAGTTGTCTGGATTAGAAATTGTGTAGACAGAATGGGATGGCAGGCTAAGACCCGCAGAAGTTCAGGCAGCCATGGTCGAAGGTGGGAGCCAACTGTGCTTGTGAGCACAGGCTGCAGAAGAGCATTGCATGCCAGAGGAATGGCTTTGGAGAAGGAGCCATTGATAAGTTCCTGCAATGAAAATAGTAACATGAAAATGATGTAGAGATAAAAAACTAAAAACTTCTTTGCAAAATAACGCCCTTTGTTTAATTTAGAATATGAAATATTTATATGTGTAATAATTTTATGGTGTTATTGTGTTTAATAACTCAAGACAAGAAAGTGATAAGCTATCATTAATGTCAGTAATGTTGATAGAATACTCAAGTCACAGACCAGCAACAGAGAGGATTTATTATATATATATAAATATATATCAAGTACAGGGGTTGGACAAAACAAGGGAAGTGTCTGACATTTTTATATTGTAATTTTTGAACACCTAATAAACAACAAAAATGCAAAAATTTTATGTTTTATTGTTCATTCTTGCTGCTAATTGATATTTTATCATTGCACAGATATTTTAAGTAAATTTTTGTATCTATAACCTAACCTATAAGCTATAAATGGCAGCCCTCTCTGACTTTCAAAGAGGCCAAATTGTTGGTACCCTTTTGGCAGCCAGCAGGTGCTAGTGTGACAGAAAGTCATAAACTTCCCAAATGCTTGAAGTTTTTAGAACTTAGAGTTACTGTCTCAAAAGTAATGACTGCTTTTGAAAAAGAAGGAAAAATATCCTCAGCAAAGCACAGGTCTGGCCAAAAATTTATGTTATCTTAGAGAGACTGTCAGTAGGTACCTAAATTGAATTGTAAAGGTCAAAAAGGATAATCAAAAGACCACAGGCACAGCTGTTAAAATTACTACTAATTACATTGTACTAATTACTAATTATTATTATTTTTATTACTAATTACATTGTAAATGCCGAATGGCATGTTTATGGATACCGTAATATCACATCAGTAATATGGTAATGAATGAATATGTTAATATCATATCAATAAAGGATAAACATGTAAAAAACACAGAAAATGTCATTTATTATACATCTACATCATCTACAATGAAAGAGGAAGACTTCAGAGTACTGTTAGTAATGGATGAGTGCACTCTGCATGCTTCAAACATTTTAAAATTTAGTTTTATTTCAAGTGTCCCGGACGGATTACCCCATTCCCAGGGTTAAATTGGGACGCTTTTATTTTGCGTCTGGCACCTTACGAATAGCATATGGAAATTTTTCAAGATGCTATTCAATAGCCCTTGCAAAGAGCTATAAAATGAGCCTAAACTTGTTTATGAAATGTTTCATGGTAAGAAGTTATTAACAAAAAGTGCTCAAAACCGTCCCTTATTACCCATTTGACGGTAATGTTTTTCCACAGCCTAGGGGCTACGGGTACAGTGCACAACCTCTTCAATGCCAAAATAAACAAATCAGCCTCAGGTCCTGGTTGTGAAAAGTTTCATAACTTACCTCTTTACTTATTCCTTTAAAAAATTCTTGACAAGATGAGAAAGATTTGAGGGCATTCACTTGCTTCAAAAATGCACCTGAAGACTCCATTGGTAACTATTTTCCCAATTTAAATTAACACTAAGACACAATTGATTTCAACTTTCAAGGACTTGGACTGACTTTCGTCTTGTTTTAAATAAACAACTATTCACACTTATATTTTAATTCCCAGTATGTAGGAAAGTTTCTGAAAAATTTATAGCTTATGATCAATTAATTGATTTCATAAGTTGTAGCCTTATCAGTGCAAACATAAAGGCGAGCTCAAGCTCAACTCTTTCTTTCTCATTTATTCTTATAGGAGCACTGGAAGCTAGTCCATAAAGCCCCTTCCCCAAATTGGGTTCAATTAATACCTAACAGTTGAAAATGAAAATCTGAAACAGAGAGAGAACACACACACATAAATAAAAGAAAAAAAATTGGTACAAGAATATTAACAGCAAAAAGAACATAAACAAATGCAAAAGAATAAAAATAATAATAATTAATAGTAATAATATTAATAACAATGAATATAAATAGAAGAGAAAACTAATAAAATAAAACATGGTTTATGATAACTTGGCCAAATGTTAAGGTACAGAAAGAGCATGAGGAATATAAAATTATAAAATTGAGCATCGGCGACAGAAATCCCCAAAAAATATAAATTTATATACAAGATAGCCACATTTAGGTAGAGAGTTGGTATTGGGGATACAAATTAAGGGGACCGGCTACCCTCCGGAAAAACTTCTACAGTTATTATCCGATCATCATGAAACTTCACATATATACGTAAAATGTAAAAATAAGAACATTTTGCTTCTATGAATTTTTCAAAAAATTTGATAGAAAACGTGAAATTCATAGAAAACGGCTAAAAAGGGGTACTTTAGAAAATCTATCTCCTCCTACAAATATCATCCTACAACATCGAGACACGTATCATTCGGTTTGCAAGGACCATACCTAAAAATTTGATGATCACTTTTCTCATTTTCCCCTTAGTTTTTTATTTAGGCGCGTTTTATCCCATTTTTCTCATTTTTCCCCCCTCCCCCCCCTTCTCCCCCATATAAAAAACAAACCAGACAGAAATCCAAAAAAAATGATCATCAAATTTTTAGGTAATTTCCCTACGAATCGAATGGTGTATGTCTCATTGCTGTAGCTTGAAAACTGTAGGAGGAGATAGGTTTTCCGTGACAATAAGTTGAACTTTTCAGGACGGCGCGACAAAGTCCCGTGCGCCTCGAAATAGGCACTCAATGTAGCATGGATCCCAAACTAAAAGCTTCTGTAGCTTAATCCGTTCAAGGATGCTAGCAGCAACTTGTAGCGCAACTCTACGTACAATGTTAGGAGGGTAACTGAGCTCAGATGCCAGATACACCAAGATATGTAGTCTTGCCGCTCTAATTTTCTTAGGTCTATTTAGTTAAGGAACTCCACCCCCCGCCCCCCATTAAAGCCCGGCCATCTGCGTCAATATTGCCGTAGATGGATCGCAGTAGTATCGTTGGAAAGCTCAGAATGTCAGCTTTAAGGTGAAACTAAGCATGTAACTGCAGCACAACTCAAGTAGAAACTATATTCAAAGATTTCAGCAGCTAATTACTTTATATCTAATTACTTAAAGAACTCTCTCACCCGCTTCCCTTTAAAGAGACGTCATGAACGTAAATATTGGCGTACAGCGATGGCAGTGATACCATTGGAAAGAGCAGAATTCCAGCTTTCAGATGAGCACAAAAACCGAAAAACGCCAAAATGAAAATTTTAGGGTAGCCGGTCCCCTTAAAGGTTGGTTTGAGAGATCACCACACTGACAGAGTCTCACTCCATTCCCAGCTCAGTTAGTTGTAGTATCCATGCCCTAACCTGCGCATCAGATTGGAATTATATAATTTACCAAATGTCCAGCCTGGGGGGAGCAAGCCTGGAGCTTCCTTTGATCTAGCAGCCAAGGCAAGATTCTACTCTACACTCTCAAACGAGAGAAAAAACATGACCTCCTGTGGGCAGGGCTATGAAGGAGAATAGGAATAGTTTGGTAATGAAGGAAAAAATAGCACCCCTCACATGAGGCAGTCACTGCCTAAATAATTCTAGACTGTCCTAAATCTATTGAGACCGCATTAAGTGCTCCTTTTTCCATAACAGGTGACACGTTTGTGTTGGGAAAATAGTTTTAATCTAGGTTTTTAGTTCAAATATGTAGTAGTCACTCTTAGTCTACTAATGGTTAGTAATATTGCCTGGATCATAATAAAGATAATCAAACTACATTGAGCATGTTGGTTGAGATTAAGGGGAGCGTCTTCCCTAAAATTGAAAATTTTGACTTTTTCGGTTTTCTTACTCATCTTAAAGCTTACATTCTGACGCATTTAATGGTACCAAAACCATTCACGACAGATCGTGAAAGAGTTAGGGGTGGTGGTGTTCTTTAACATTTAAGATAGGCCAAAATTACCAGTTGCACACTTAAATAGCTAGTCTGAACATGCTGTGCTTGTTATCCACCTGCAGTCGTACAGGATGGTTCTCATGCCGTCGTTTGCACCATTCTTGACAGAAATTGAGCTCCAGTATCATCTAGTCTTGCAACCTTGCACCCTTGAATGTCTATTTTGAGGCGCGTGCGACTTTGTCGGGCCCTACTGAAAAGTTAACTTATTGTCACTGCACACTTATCTCCTAGAGTTTTGAAGCTACAGCGATGAGACCTATACCATTTGATTCAACCTATACCATTTGATTCGACCTATACCATTTGATTCGTAAATAAAATCTTTAGAAACCATCCAGTCTTTTTTTATTTTGTTATAGTTTTGATTATATTTCGCAAAAAGGCAGGACGGAGGGGGGAATATTTAAAAAATTTTGGAAAATCCCCCCTCCTCCCGAACAAATTCAAAATTCAAAAAAATGATCAGATGGATTTTAGATATGATCGTTACAAATTGAATGATACGTGTCTTGATGTTGTAGCACAATATCTGTAGGAGGAGATTTATTTTTAAAGTATCCCCTTTTTGCTGTTTTCTATGAATTTCATGTTTTCTTTCATTTTTTCAAAAAATTGACAGGAACAAAAAGTTCTTAGATTTCTGTTTTACATTGTGTACCAAGTTTCAAACGATCGATTTATAAATGAATAATATATGTTTAAAAATTACTTTTTAAGGAAAACACTTCCAAAGAATCCAGTGTCTCTAATCTTAAAGATGTACCATGAATTTCTCATTTAATTTTTGAATATTATAAAAATTAATTTTTCAATTTTTTTTAAATATAAAATTTTTTTAATATATAATTTTTTTCAAAATTACTTATTCCATTAATTGATTCATGCATTGCCTCTGACTTCACACAAGTGTGCAAAATTTCAGATCAATTAGACAGGTAAAAGTGTGTCAAATATCAGTTATAAGATTTGGAGCTGACAAAATTATTTTTTCAATTTTTTTAATATTGAAAAAAAAAATTTAATTTTCAAAATCATTTATTTTGACATTTGATTCATGCATTGTCTCCAACTCTAAACAAGTATGCAAAATTTCAGATCGATAGGATAAGTAGAAGTGTGTTAAATTTCGATTACAAGATTTGTAGCAGACAGACAGACAAACAAGAAGTGAAGTTAAAGAGAAGTGTTGTAAAAAGTTTTCAAAAGAGGGAGACTGTCCCCTTAAAAAGGTGGCCACTGCTTCAACAATTGAATCCTGAATGGCACCCAAATACGGACCCAATCCAAGCAAGTTTTTTAAATTAACAGGGACATTAAGTTGGGTTAGCAAGTTACTAAGGTTAGTATGAGCAGAGGCACAAATTGGACAATGAAGCAGGAAGTGTTGGATGGTTTGGGGCATCTCACAAGAGCACAAGGGGCTGTCCACTAACTTGAAAGGAGCAAGATGTGCTCTAACCCTGGCATGCCCAGTTCAAAGTATGGCTAAGGCAGTCCCAATGACCCAATTTTTATTGAAGGCCCATGGCCAACTGCCAACTTCATCTTTAATTGATCTAATAAAGAGAACCCTTCCTGAATTTGTAGTACTGTCCCATAAGTATTATTCCATTCTGACTTGACCTTGAAATGTAGCTGCTTTACCAGCTCAATTTATAGGGTAGTTATGGTATGGTAACTCAAGGAATTTGCCTCTGCTGCTGCAAGGTCAGCTGCCTCATTGCCTTTGATACCCTTGTGTCCACGAATGAATTGCAAGATAACTACTTGGAAGTAAAGTAAAGCCATTAGTTTAGTTTGGATTTCAAATATGAGGTGCAGATAGCTGTCAGGTTTTCTGTTACCGATTAGAAATATAGATGATTTGAGAGTGTGAAAATAACTAGTTAATCTGCAGGCAAGAGGTTTGTTAGGGACAAGTTGAGAGCTTCATGGATTGCAAACGACTCTAAAATTGCAAAAGACTCTAAAATTTCCACTTCAGGACGCAGTTTCCAGTTAAGCAAGATGCCCTTGGAAGGAATGTGCAGAGCTGCCAATGTTGAAGGGGCTGGTGAGTAGTGAGACCCATCTATGAATGCAGCATTGTGTCCTGAGCATTTTGATTGTACATGGTCTGCATAGATTTGTTGAGCAGCCTGGGGAGAAGTGGTGGACACTGTAGAAATGGAAAAGTCAGACTGTAGCTCTGAATGTTGAGCCATGGGGGTATTGGGGAGATCAAAGACAATGCGAGTAATTAACCCTTTCACGGGTAAGTTACCATACATGATCACTTGAAATCGCATCACAAAAAGCCTCACCACAGCTTCCTGTTTGTTTTTGAGGCATCCTTATAAGGCCTCAGTCAATCACTAATCATCTGACCATCATTCTATCTATAGCATCACCAGCTGCAAAGTCCAAAAATTGAAATATGAGCATTTAAATGAAGGTTTTGACTCAGACAATAGAATTGACGCTCTTTCCGCATTTTCTTCAAAATTTGGAAGTATCAATATATATATTTATTTATTTTGGCAACTTGATTAAATTCAATTAAATTAAATTTTTAGGTTTCTAATTTTTCATTTGCATAAACTGAATTTTAATTATAAAGAAAAATTTTGTGTACTGACTGCATTTATTGAATTCTTCAAGTGTGATTTAAACCTTCAATTGGCAAAATTTGCAAAAATTCATATAAATAAATATATTGTATAATACTTTTTACTTTCTTGA